GCCTGCACGTTGGCGTGCTGGATCAGCTTGGCCAGATTCTCTTCGCTCACCCCTGCAGGAGAGAATAAGGGTCCCAGGGCTCTGCTGGGTGCCTGTCCTTGTTCCAGGATGTCCCAGGGGCTAGTGCGACCTGCTCTTGGGGGAATTCTGTGTGGGGGTCTCCAAGGGGCAGGCACTAGCTGAGGAGCCCCAGGAGAAGGCACAGATGGGGGGTCAGCCCCAGGACCCCACCGTTCCGCAGCAGGATGTAGAGCAGCAGGACCCGGATCTTGTCGTAGGCCGGCACCGCGGTGTCCAGCAGCACGGGCACGATCAATTTCATGGTGTCCTTGATCTTCTCCCCCTCGGCGTCAGAGCCCATGGCCAGGTCCTGCGGGACACAGGGACACAGGGGGTCAGCTGAGTGGGGACAGAGGACGGGGAGGCATCCCAACAGAGCAAGTTCCTCCCACAGTGCCAGGACAGTCCCCCCATAGGTGCCACCCTCCACCAGGCCCGCCCACCTCTCCAAGGCCACGCCTCCACCCCACAGTGCTCAGAAGCCCCACCCCCTCTCCAACGCCACGCCTCTCAACCAGGCCTCCCTTCTCTGACACCCCACCCATCTTCCCACCTTTCTTCAAGGGCCCTCCTGTCCCTGGGAGCCCCGCCCCCACAGGCTCCGCCCCTGCGGCCGCACCTGTGCTAGGCCCCGCCCTCACCTGCTCCACACTGCACAGCTTCTCCACGGAGCCCTTGAAGCGCTTCAGGCAGTCGTCGGCCAAGTGCAGGTGCGTGGAATACTGCAGGGTGGGGTGCCGAGTCCAGGCACACAGTCGGGCAGAGCGTGGGGCCAAGGTGCCCGCGCCCACCCCGCCCTACCCTCCACCTGGGCCCACCTTGTTCAGCTCCTTCTGGTACTGCGGCATCTTTTTCAGGATGTGGGACAGGTCTTTGATGTTGGCCTGCGGTGGGGCGGGAGCGAGCAGGAGGCGGGTGTGAGCCCGGGCTGAGGCCCACCCCCTCGCTGGGGAGGGGCTTTCCTCCAGCGCCCAGCCCTGGGGACCCCAGGCGCCCCTACCTTGTCGGTGGTCATCCTCTTGCTCTCACAGAACGTCTTCAGGAGCTCCGTGACCTTCCTGGCCGTGGGGGTACAAGGGAGGGTGCGGGGGCAACGTGAGGCTGGGGGCTGGTGCCCCTGCACAGGGTTGTGGTGGGTCCCTGGGGTGAGGGGCGAGGCTGGAGGGCGTGGCTAGCACAGGGACCTTCCCGGGGTGGGGACTGAACGGCCGGCGCGGGCACGCACTTGGACACATCGGCAATGTGCATGTGGCGGAGCTCCACCCACAGGTCATCATCCTCGTCCAGTAGCACCGCCTTCTCCCTGGCCTCGCTCAGCCCCGTGGTCTCGTACCTGGGGAGGAGGCGGGAGGGGTCCCAGGGTCTGCGCGGAGGAGCAGGGACCCCGGCCGGCAGCAGGGGAGGGCGGCGGGGCTCTGGGTGCACCCACCTGTACGTGTCTTGCTGGATGTCCAGCAGGTCGTAGGCCATGGCCTGGAAGGTGAGCTCATGCAGCAGCGGGGACACGGGGTCTGCGGCCCGGTCTATGATCAGCAGCTGTGAGCGGGTTTTCTCGGGGCCCTGGGAGCAGGCAGCAGTGAGGACGCTGACTGTGCCCCACCCCCGGCCCAACCTCACCCTCTGGCCCCAGCACTGCCCTCACCTCGCCCAGGCTGGGAGTGTCTGCCTTGAAGGCGTTCAGCTTAGCCAGCACGGCATGGGCCAGCTGCGCGGTGTCCTCCGGGCCCCTAGGGTGAGCGGTCAGAGACACGAGGGGTGTCAGGGGCCAGGGTGGGGTCAGTGGACAGCTTCAGGGGGCAGCACGGGGAGGGGGCTGGGCTGGGCCCCCACTTGCGGTAGCGGATGGCCGGGTACTCCTGCAGCGTGGCGCAGAGCGTGGCGATCTGCTGGGCCAGTGCTTCCAGCTGCCGTGTCCGCTCCGCTGCCCGGAAGGGGCAGTAGAGGTTGTAGGTGCTGTGGGGGGCGTCCAGGGAGAACACCTGGGGGACACAAGCGCCATGGGCACCGCTGCAGGTGCACACCCGCCCAGCTCCCAGCTCCCACCACCTGCATGCAGTCTGGGGGCTTCGCTGGGCTCTGGAGTCTGCTGCAGGGTCTCAGGGCAGCCCCCAGCCAATATCTGCAAGGGTGGGTGGAGAAATCCCCAGCCTGCTCCCCTGTGGGTGGGAC